ATGAGCCATGAGAACTAGTCATTAATGTGACCATGAGATTACTAGCGAGATTAGCACTAATACAAATCAGAGATTCTATCCTCCCACTGCTTCTAGACGTTGCAAAAGTTTTTGAATGTTCTCTTCCAGCTTCGTGACATTGTTCTTTTCGACTTCTCCGTTGTTTTGTATGCTCGTCTCTAGCGTTTTGATAGCTAGCTCTAGCTCATCTATGGATGAACGATTTCTCTTTTGCTGTGCTTCGAGCTACGGAGTTATCAAGTTAATGATAAAGCCCCATTGGCAAAGACACGTGATCAACACTCACTTGCTCCATACTTCTTTGGAAATCGGCAGCGGCTGCATGAAGGCTTGAAAGAGTTCGTAATCTGGCTAATATATGCGGTAATGTTGGTAAATGCGGCGCTAATCGTTGTAGAATGGGTGTTAGTTGCTCCTGAATTGTGCTCGATTGGCTTGTGCCAGTAGAACCTGCACCCGGGTTTGAAGCTGTGCCACTAGTCGCACCTGTACCCCGGCTTTGAGCAGTACCAGTCCCCTGTGTGGATGCACCAGCAGTGGCACTCTGCGCCGCTACACGGTCAAGGTCCGTCAGCAGCAGCTTTAGCCTTCTGGAGATTGAATCAATGGTTCTTGGTTGTGTGAGTATCGTAAGTTGTGTGTTAAGTCTTGTGATCATAGGTAGAAGTGGTGGAGGTAGGGGAGACGACTCGTCGAGAGCAGCACCACTGCTACCTACCACTTTTTCCAGCTCGCCCACTCTTGCATCGAGCTTGGAGACAGCCGGATCAGTAAATTCGTCCTTTGCATTTCCGGTGGCGTTTTGACTTCCGCCAAGGCTGCCTTCTCTACGGTGCATGCTCCCGTCACGTCGATGCAGACCAGGGGAGCCTGGAAGATGGGTAGGCGATAATGGTGTTCCAAGTATTGCGCCGTGTCCATGGACATGGGAGTGACCAGACGTTGGTCTACTCGTAGTACCTCCCCCTACAACCGCGTCCACTAACCGACCTCTTCCATCTTTCGCAGCGCTGATTCGTTCCAGACGTGATCTGACATCGTGAACACCTTTCAATAGGTCTCCGGCATTATCTGCATCTTTTTCTGGACCAGTCCCCGACACAGCCCTCTTCTTGCTTTGGGCCTTGGGAGTCGTTGGACTGGTGGTCGCATCTGTTCCAGGAGGTGCGATTGATGTGGACGATGATGATTGGGCTAGTTCGGCTTCGAGAGATGCCAGCTCTTGCTTGAGGGCTAGTAAACGTTCGAATTGTGACGATTGTTTATTCCGCGACCGTAGTGTGGGAGGGGCATCAGAGTCGGAAGACTCGTCTGTGGCTGGTGGATACGTGTAGACCGATCTTGCTATTCGAGTAGTGCAAGGAGATGGTATGATTTGGTATACGATGCGTTGAACGTGGAAATATTGGAGAGGGTAGTTTAGCTATACTCATCCGAACGAAATAACACACCACTGACCTTTGCGCTTCTCAGCTTTCCTGAACTGCTTCCGGGCGTCCTTTGCTGATAGAAGACTACTTGGGTCCAGTTCCTCTATGCTGGGTTTCTCAGCGTCGCCCTTTGCATCGTCCTCGTCCGATGAGTTCGTAGTCTGATCGAGATGAATTTCCATCACGGAGGAAGATATTAGCATACTTGATCTCATATCGACATAGAGAAACCTATATCACCTTGGCCTGTGAAGTTGGTTCGACGTCCTCAGTTTCATAAACATCTGGCGCCGTATCCTGAAGTATGTATCAGTGGCCATCGTTACACAAACTTGCGTGTTTAGGGCGAGTGAATAGCTTAGATTGGTGGATGCGTACAATATCTGGAAGGTTTGCGTATTTGGCCGACATGGTCGAGTCGTCGAAACTTGGACCACCACCCATTGCGAACGCGTCCACGGAAGCGCGTAACAGCATCATTGTCGTGATTAAAATGCTTCCAAACATACAAAAAAACGCGTATTCATGAACACAATTCCGCATTCTTATTGACGATAAATTACTCTACACGCCCATCTTTACGAACCAAACTCCCGGTCTCTGAACGCACCAGTAATATACGCAACTTCTGGGTCCCAAGCAGAATAAACGTGAATTGAAATGAATCACATTTGACTGAGGCGAATTACAGGTGAACGATAGAGAATGTAAACACCGTCAAGAGATGAAACGAAGAATGCTCACCGTTCATTCTTTCCCTCGCCAGAACATATCGTTCCAGACCGCTTCACATTGCACACTTTCCACACCACCACCATCTTTCCTTCTCAGCCTCCATACCATGTCCTCCCTGACGCCCATCTTGCTGGCCCATGCCTTGAGCCTATGATAATTGAGCCCAACTTGTCCTGGGTTATGAGCGTCATCACTCAAGCAAAACTTTCCTCCCCTTTCTATTATCATCTTCACTGTCTCTTCTCCAGGCCACCCTTCCTCCCATCCTTTTCTAAATGGAGCAGAGGACAGCTCGAACAAAGCGCCATATGAGACTGCATAAGCGATGTTACTCGCTGCCATTTCGCGTGCTTTGGCATGCGACGCTAGACGGGTCGACGGGGTGAAGAGGAGCGGCAAAGCAAAGTGAGCGACTACTGCCGGATGCAATGTTTCCAGAAGGCGGCGCTGCGCAGTGAAGTAGGCTTCGAATAGTGCGGAGAGACCCAATTCTCTGGTTTCCTCGGGTGGCGTGTCTGAGCCCAAAGACCCCTCGAGAGTCACCCTTTGGATATACCAGTCCACAGCTTGTTCGAACATTTCTTTACT